AGATTTCTCAAGTAGATTAGGACTAGTTTAAGTCTTAGTGGTGTGAGTCACTTGTAAGTTTACTTGTGCGTTGTTAGTCACAACAGTTGTTGTGTGATTGTAATCAGTTGATTATAGTGGATTAAGTCCTTGTTGAGAAAGGCGAAATCACCTTGGCGGGTAGACTGAAGTAGTTTGAGTTCAAACGAACCAAGATAAAAATAACCTTGTCTTTCCATTATTGTTGTGCCTTTAAGAAAAAGAAAAAGAGAAACTTATTCACCCCCCCCCCCCCCCCCCCTTCTAAGTGTTTTCTCAACCTTCAGAAGGTCCTGGATTCGAGCCCCAGCGAGACCTTTTGTTTTTTTTCTCATATTTTTCCATCCTTTTTTGTTTAAACAGACAGCGCGCTGAGCCTCATCCAATGGGCCTTGCCCCATTTTACTCAGCATCACCCCCCCCCCCCCCTCGTTTATTTTGCAGCGCAACCCATTTTCTTGTTTTTATTTCCTTATTTTTCTGACTTACAAAAAAATCTTTTGGGCCTAGTACAAATTTTTACTTCTAAACCACTTTTCCCATTTCACACCCCTTGACTTTATTCTTTATATTTTATTTTACTTTCTTTTTCTCTATTATCATTATTATTAATATTATTATTATTATTATTATTTTTATTAATAAAAAATCCTAAAAATATTTTATATTAAATATTTATATATCTTATATACTTTTATTTCATTTCTTTCAAACAAAAATGACTAAAAAATGTTTTCCTAACAAATTTATTTTCTTTTCTTAAATTTGATTAAATAATTTAGACTTAGGTTTAGTTAAATTTTCTTTTCCAATTTAATTAGTTTAGGATTTAAGAACTTTAATTAAACTCTTTTCATTAGCTATAAAAATCTTTTTTTTTTTGTATAAATCAAAACCCTAAGAAATTTTGTTTCTTAATCCATTTTCTTTTCTTAATTAAATTAGGTTTAGTTATTTAAAATTAACTTAGAATAAATTAAATATTTTATTTTTTAATTTAATTAAGTTAAAAAACTTTTTCATAACAAAAACTCAAACAAAAACAATTCAATTTTCTTTTCTTTCCACATCTCCTTCATATTCTTGTATATTATCTTTACATTTTGGTACATTATTTATCCATTCATTATGTTTGTAATAGTAACTTAGGATTTAATTTCTTCTCTCCCCATTTTGTAAATTGGTACCCCCATCCCAAAATGATGTAATAACGTAGAATTTTATATTTTCGCAATTTATGGCTTTCAATATAAATGCTAGTAATTAGGATTTGTATGGCAAGACTAAAATCAACAAGTTGATAACCCTAAATTCAAGACAAAGTGCATGAAAAAAATTACACCTTGCACACTTGCACCTCTAGGGTAACCCATATTTATTTCTTTCGAATAAACAGTCATGTCCCTCGAATATGGGATAATTTAGCAATGACCCTCGAATACAAGATCATAGTCTCTCGATGACCATTCGATGTTGCCTACGGTAAATAATCTTAGATCCTTACGAAAAATTGCTAAGGTATCCTACAATGTTGCCTTCTATAACTGTATGATGACCCACGTCTATCCCTTCACATCCAATGATATGGTTACTTACTAATTAATGGTAAGATAACCATATCTAAAGGAGGAGGAAAAGAACTAAGACTTTTTGAGTAGGTAGAATACTCGTAGTTGCTTGCTCACAAACATTTTCAAAACATCTTTTTAAACAAACAAACACTTGCAAATGAAATATTTTTAAAAGTCAACACTTTGTATACATTCTTATAGAGACGAGAATCATTACAAAGTTCACCTAAATGAAGGCACTTTTCAAAAAATACTTTCAAAAAAACCAATCACAAACACATTTCAAACAAAAGCATTTCAAAGTGATCAAGCAACTAAGAGCCCGTAGATAACGACAGATGAAAAGGGTGCTAACACCTTCCCTTTTCATAACCTACCCCCCGAACTCAAGAAAATATCTCAAAAGGTCTTTCCTGTTCTTTTCATCCAAGAAAAGTCAGTGGCGACTCTTGCAATCCGCAACAATTGCGATAAAACGCAAAACACCCAAGTCAGTTCTCCCACCGTATTACATAATACAAATGTCATGTTCTCATTTCCAAGAGTTTATACGCTTTGATTCCTATTATTAAGCCAGGGTATTTTTCTTAACAATGTTCATTTTTAGCGACTTAACAATTGGAATCAAAGAAATGATGCTTGGAAATGAAGTAACATGAATGTTAATAATTACATTAGCATGCTATGTATGTAAACATGCAGGATCAAAGCTTCCACAATACTGGATATTTACTAAGTTGATAACAGAACCACAGTCACATGTAACAAGATCAAAGGTTCAGACCAATTCAGAATGGCAAAGAACCAAAGTCATCAACAGAACATATAGTCATCATTTGTACCTATAAAGATTCATCCTGCCCCACTCAAGAGTAAAGACTAGGTCAGGTTAAGGTCAATGGTAACTTAAATCACGGGTTCACCTGAAAGCACTATCATCAAGCCACTAATGTGGATGATGATAACACCCCCATTTAAACCTCATATGAGCCTAGGCGACATGACTGTGCTAGTAGGACCTTCGTTCAATAGTCGTCATGTTCTACTTTATTCCTAGGTTTCCTAGATAGCGCATTTTGGCCTGGGTATTGGGCCTTTTACCTCAATAGTAAGATCCCACTCAACCTGAAAAACCAGCAAATCCAGTACAACAACAATAACCAGTATATGGAAAGCGATAAAATGCAATGCATACATATGCTCAAATATATAAAAATGAATAATCTATAAAGCATTAAGATAAACACCTAGAGAAAAATAGGAGCCATGAGTGACTCACGGGATGGACCAATAATTGGCCGATCTTTCCTCAGTGAAGTCGCCATTTTTCTATAGCGGTAAATCAATAAAGTCGCCACTGAGTATTTATTTATCCCACATAAAGGGAAATAAAAATCATCGAAGAAAAACCTGACGAGAGAAATCAAGGTCTTGCAACCGAGAGACCGGGTATGGGAGTCGATTACGCGAGGGGAAGGTATTAGCACCCCTCGCGTCTGTAGTATTCTACGGGATCCACTCTTGTTGTTTTAATCAAAGGGTGTGTTCAATCTAATTATTAAGGGCTAAAAGAAGAATGCAAAGAGGGAACGCATACAAAGAAAACGCGGGAAAAAGAAGGAAATATTTACAAAATTTCGCTCGGCTGAGCCCCGTGACTAGATGCCTACGTATCCCTTTTAAAGAAATAGAGCATTGTAGTTCGGCTCAATAATTTTGATGGGTTGCAATGTTTTTTATGGATAATTCCATACTCGCATCCTTGCAGTTAGGATTGCAACTTGTGCTTGGTGTTGCAACTCAAAAGAGACTCATACTCGACCACTCGCACACTTAGCATTTCCAGTTTGGTCGAACTTGAATCAACATACCCTTATAAAAAATGTTTTAAAAGAAAAAGTCCGAAGACAAAATTGATTTGCATTGGTTAGTATTTTTTACCTTGAAAAAGGGTTTAGAGAAATTAAAGTGTTTTATGAGTTTGTAAAAAAAAAGAGTTTTAATTTTAATGCAAGGATGCAAAATAGGAAGAAAACACCTAAGGGAGACTAGCCTATCTCTAACCTAGTGTTATCATACAATGATGGTCCTATGTCAAGGATGGAAAGAGATATCTCTATCCTATGTTAGCATGCATGGATAACTATCTTTATGTCTAGCTCGAAAGCTACCCTAATCGAGCGACTCTAAGGGAACATGCAAAGATCGAAGTCGTTATCTCAATTCTAATTGAGTGACATCATCAATTATTAACAAAGGAAAATGAAAATTCTATGAGGAGCATGCAAAGATCGAAGTCGTTATCTCAATTCTAATTGAGTGACACCATCGATCGCCAACAAAGAAAAATTAAAATCCTAAGGGGAGCATGCAAAGATCAAAGTCGTTATCTCAATTCTAATTGAGTGACATCATCGATAGCCAACCCATGAAAACAAACACAAACACAATTAGCAAACAAGTGCGGAATTTCTGCTACAGGTCTTTAAACAACGACTTTGAGCGCACGCTCTTTATTATCCTACTTATCATGATATCTAGAAAGCAATAAAATGTGGAAAGATAAATTGAAAGAGGTATAATACCAAACGAACAATAACGTCCGCAAAAAAATGCAACCAAAGCAAAGAAACCCGGAATACTTCATGGAAGCTTCACCAAGCAAACAGAGAAAAGAGTCAAAAATCAAATGCTCAAAATAAATGTCGAAGCATCGTCGATGTGAAAATAAATCATAATCAGAAACTCAAGCATATCCGCATATTAAACAATGAACTTGCATAAGACTCAAATTTCGACAAGCAAAAAGTGAATCACAAATCTCAAGTAATTTGATAATCATGAATTAATTCCTAAAATCGAATAAAAAATTTAACAAATTTTTATTGATTTTATGGTTTTTATAATTAATTTTTTATCAAAATTATGAAAAGAAAAATTAACAGAAAACCAATACAATTCTATACAGAGAGGGGGTACAAACTGAACCAGGAAGCATGTTGTAGTATAACAAGAGGCTTAGGCGCTCATCCCAATCACACCAGTTCAGGATTGCCTTTTTTTATTTTTTTGCAACAAGTTGTTCAGCCTCTAAAAAACCGTGTGGGCCTATTGAGCACACAGCTCGGTCCAGTTCAAACATATCATTCTATATTTCGTTATTCACTGCATTATATCCATTTCCAACATTTGGATTAAAAAGAAAAAGAAATAAAAGTAATATTAATGTAACTATGCGTTTGGAAAAAAGGATAGGGTTCCAAAGTCTGTGACTCTTGAACTCTTTGATCATGCGATTCCCTCCGCCGCCGTACAACACCTTCCATCACAGGCGATTCCCTCAGCCTTCGTATGAACAAATCATCAACTAACTATTATTCTTTTGAAGAGCTCCCAGGCAGCTTTGCAGGTTTATTTCTGATTTTTTTTCTGATTTTTTTTCTTATGCAGGTTTTCGGACATATTACAATGTTTTGAAACAGGGCAGGGCTGATCGTTTTGCGCCGGAATTAGTTTAAAGTGATGCAATGCAGGGTTAATTTCTAGATCAAGTATTGGGTCAAGTGGATATGCTATCACATGGAATGGCTGGACACCTAGGAAGAACTGACACATCAATTTTCCTTCTTGTAGATATGGGCAGCAACATGTCTCATCTCAAGAAGCTCGTGCTTCTCAATCTTTTGTGCAAGGCCTGATCATGATATGCAGACAATTAGAGATTGGTTTAAGTAGAGGCTTTAGGATTTAGGACTTTGGTTTAGAATTTTGTAGATTTTCATGTATGGATTTTTGCAATGGTCTTGTAACTAGAATCCTTGGCACAACATAAACATTTGCCTTGTTTCTTGAATTCCAAAGAACTAGGCTTGAATGAATCTGGAGGTATTTAAATGACATTATATATATGGACTGATATTTGGATGAAATTTGAATAATTGATGTGCTTGAAACTTGAATGAATAATCGAATAGTGCTTGAAACTTTGATGACTTTATGTTGAACAAATATTGAAAGTGATAAACTTGAACCATGATGAAAGCTATAAACCATTTGCATCATTGATGACATCTTGGCCTTATTTGAAATTGAATGAACCATAATGATAGACTTTGAAGTTTGAAAATGGATATTTGTCTTTAATCTTGAACATAGTTGAAATCTGAATTTTGAATGAATTATTTTCAACTTGTAGTTTGTTTCCAAATGAACAACTCTTCCATCTTTAAAATGTGAATCCATTTTGAAAAATTGGATCAAAACAATCGCCTGAGTGAATTTTTGAACAACACTTTGATCAACTTGATAAGTCTTCAATTCCAATCTCAAATGATAAATTCAAATCATCATGCCTCTAATTTCAAATTCTCACCATGTTACCTTACAATCGAAGTAACAAAGGTTGTCTTGATCAAAATAAATTCACCAATTTATCTTCGTACCACGGCCTAATTCAATCCATATAATACATTGACTTGTCAAAAGCATCGCCTTGACGATCTTTATAGAAGATAAGGCTTGGAGTATAGAAAGAAGCATGACCACCAAAATGTTCTTGACATGAAACCCTAGTAACCTGTGGAATCTTTGCCAAGAAAGATATATGTGTTGTTCGTGGTCTAAAACCCTAGTTTTCCTACTAAAATGATGAGAGCATCAGTTGAATTTACCTGATAAAAATAACAACCTCAATCCCTAGGAAAAAACCCTAGTGTCATAACTTTTGATCACATAACCATGGAATCGATGATATGCATGAGATGTATATGATATGATGAGGGATCTTAGGGGGGAAATTTGGGGTATAACACTCTGGTTGCCCCTCCCCAAACTACTTTCACGAGAGGAATTTCCTTTCCCCTCAACTTCTTTATTTCACGGCCTTCAATTCTCACCGGAAAGGTCTCAACTGTAAGGTTATCCCTCACTTTCATGTCATCCATCAAAATTACATGAGATGCTTCTGAAATATACTTTTGAAGTTGCGACACATGGAACACATCATGCAAATTCGAAAGGTTAGGTTGCAAGGCCACTCTATAAGCAACAGTTCCCACTTTGTCTGAAATCTTATACGGACCAATAAACCGAGGAGTAAGTTTCTTTGATTTCAATGCTCGTCCAACACCATTCATTGATGTGACTCTTTAAAATACATGATCTCCCTCCTGAAATTCAAGGTCTTTCCTCCGCTTGTCATGATAACTCTTTTGTCTACTCTGTGAAGTTCTCATCTTTTCCCGAATTAGATTCACTTTTTCTGTAGTTTGTTGGATAATTTCCAGTCCAAGCACCACACTTTCACCAGATTCATATCAACACAACAGAGTCCTACACCTCTGACCATACAACGCCTCAAACAGTGTCATTCCAATGCTAGAATGGTAACTATTGTTATAAGTAAACTCTATCAATGGAAGATAAATATCTCATATTCCTCCTTGTTCAACAACGTAAGCTCTCAACAAATCTTCCAACAAATGAATAGTCCTCTCTGCCTGTCCATTTGTTTGTGGATGATATGTCCAAATAAATTTTAGCTTAGAGCCTAACGCATCTTGTAGACTCTCCCAAAATCCAGAAGTGAACCTTGGATCTCTATCAGACACGATGTTAGCTATCACACCATGAAGTTTCATAATCACATAGTTATAAATCTCCGCTAACTGTGGTACTGGAAAACTAATATTGATCAGAATAAAATGAGCTGACTTCGTTAGCATCTTAATAATCACCCAAATTGTATTATTCCCCCTTGTAGTACTTGGAAATCCCGTCACAAAGTCCATCGATATAATATCCTACTTCCACTCCGAAACATCTAACGGTTCTAACAACCCTGTAGGTCTCTGATGTTCGACTCTCGATTTATGGCAAGTCAAACAGACATATACAAACCGTGCCACATCTCGTTTCAACCCGGACCACCAAAACAACTTCTTTAAGTCTTGGTACATCTTAGTCGTACCTGGATGAATACTCAAATGACTTCTATGACTTTCTTCTAGAATCATCTTTTTCATTTTGGAGTCATCAGGGTTACCAATTCTACCTCAGAATCTCAACACACCTTGCGCATCTACTTTGAAATCACTATCTTCAAACTGATTATCTCCAACCATCAAATCCACTAGTTTGACATCCAATTTCTTGGCCTCTTTAATATTATACAAGAAATCACTATTAATTTTTAACATTCCCAACATCACACTCTGCAACGTCAATTCACAAACTAAACTCATGTCTCTGAATTGCTCAATCAATTCCAATTCTCTAACCATCATAACAGACATATGTAACGACTTCTGACTTAACACATCCGCCATAACATTAGCCTTACCCAGATGGTAATTTAAGCCAAAATCGTACTCCTTCAACAGTTTTGGCCATCTTCGTTGTCTCATATTTAACTCCTTTTGTTCGAATAAATACTTCAAGCTCTTGTGATCACTAAATACTTCAAATCTGGAACCATAAATATAATGCCCCCAAATTTTCAGTACAAATACCACTGCAGCTAATTCTAGATCATGAGTAGGGTAATTTCTTTCACGAATCCTTAATTGCTTTGACGCATAAGCTACCACTTTATCATTCTGCATAAGCACATCACCTAAACCCAATTTAGAATCATCACAATATACAACAAACAATTCTTCAGGATTAGGTAATATCAAAATCAGAGCCATTGTCAATTTCTTCTTTAGCTCGGTAAAACTTTCCTCACAGTTAATATCCCACACAGATGCTTTGCCTTTACAAGTTAGTTGAGTCAACAAAAGTGCTAACTTAGAAAAGCCTTCAATGAACCTTCTATAATAACCAGCAAAGCCTAAAAAGCTTCTAATTTCTATAACCGACTTTGGAGTCTCCCACTGCAATACTGCACCAACCTTAGAATGATCTACAGCAATACCATCACCAAAAATAACATGACCAAGAAAACTAACTTTCTCTAACCAGAACTAACACTTTGACAACTCCGCATATAGCTTATTCTCTTTCAACACTTGCAATAAAATTCTTAAGTGCTCAACTTGTTCTTCCTCTGATTTGGAATATATCAAAATATCATTAATGAATATGACTATGAATCGATCCAAATAAGTGCGAAAGATACAGTTAATATTGAAGGTGTGAAAACCACAAGAAAGTGGAGTTTGAATCGGGTTTTAAAACAAAAAAAAAATTATTTAAAAACATTCCCCTTTAAGTTAAAATCCTTTTAATCTTCACTCTTGATAATAACAATAAGTAAGAACAGGAAGTAAGAACAATGTATGTTTATACTAGTTCACTTGAAAATTATCAAGCTAGTCTAGTCCACTCGCCAAGGTGATTTTACTTCACTCAATCGAGGACTTAATTCATTATAACCAAATTGATTACAATTCGCACAAGCTACCCACAAGTGACTAACAACTTCTAAGACTCGCAAGTCAAAGACTTCTTAAGGCTACAGACCTACCCAGTCCCTTAAGGAATATCAAACAATAATCAACCTGATTATTACAATGCACAAGCTACCCGCAAGTGACTAAAAACTTCTAAAACTCGCAAGTCCTAGACTTCTTAAGAATACAGACCTACCTGGTCCCTTAAGGAATATCAAACAATATTTTGAATACATGTTTTGTTTACAAGAATTTTGCTTCTAAAAAGCTGAATATGTAAACTATTTTAAGAACAATGACTTAAGAATGTGAAAGCTATGAACAACGTTTATGCGTGATTATTCAGTGAATTAGAAGCTTTCTCTATTAGTCTTCAAGCCTTTATATAGCCAATAAAATAATATATCCGTTGAGGGATACTCTTGGGATTTCTAGAAAGATTGGCAGCTTGAACAGTAACATGGGGACATGATCGTGCAATGTGTCCATCCTTTCATGGTAGTGGAATTAAATGTTGATTATACCATGTACTATTTGTACCATGTTAATGTTATCTTCTTTCCTTTTGCACTTCAGAGGCTTCTGCAAGCATGAGTATAGAAGCAAGAACATAACACAAGGTCATTAAAACTTCAAGTCTTCAGAGTCTTCAGAATTGCGTCTTTAGAGTCTTCAGCACTTGGTTGTGAGAACCTTTTCTTGGAACCTTGGGTCTTTAGAACTTCAAGTCTTTAGAATCTTTAGAACTTATGTCTTTAGATTCTTTAGCACTTGGTCTTCAGAACCCTTATCTATAAAACCTTATAATTAGAAACACAAGTCTTCAGCATCTGGACTTCAGTAGAAACTTTGTCTTCAGATCTTCTATTTTTGTTTCTTTGGAACACGTTGTCTTTAGAAACTTGAGTCTTTAGAATCTGGACGTAAGTAGAAACTTTTGTCTTCAGATATTCTGACTGTTTTCTTTAGAACAAATATCAGAGCTTACACTTCAGAGCCTTCTGGAGTGTCTTGCTACTGTTCAACAAAACTTGTGTAACGTAGAAGCGAATTTAATTATCTTCTAATGTCTTGGCCACACCATCCATCAGAAGCAGAACCTATTTGTTAAGTACTCAACAATAACAAACATTAGAGTAGCAAAATTGTTCATACAAATATACTCATTTGTTATCATCAAAACTCAGATAATATTATAGAACCAAATCTTGTTCTTACAAT